ACACTGATTGTCCAGTGGCCAGGCAAGAAGTATAGGGGGGACTAACAGAGAGGAGAATGGAGAGAACAGGAAGGCAGAGAGAGACACTGCCAGCTGCCACCATGACAAGCAGCATGTGAAGACTCCGGTAAGCCACCAGCCAGGTGGAAAGGTATAGATTTATGGAAGTGGATTAATTTAAGATATAAGAACAATTAGCAAGAAGCCTGCCACGGCCATACAGTTTGTAAGCAGTATAAGTCTCTGTGTTTACTTGGTTGGGTCTGAGCGGCTGTGGGACTGATGGTGACAAAGATTTGTCCTGAGTGTGGACAAGGCAGGAAAACTCTAGCTACAGAAGTGGATAATTTTCTGGATAGGTACCACATACCTAAGTTAAATGAAGACTAGATGAACTATTAAAATAGACCAATAACCTCTAAGGAAATAGAAACAGCCATTAAAAGTCTCCCAACCAAAAAAAGCCCAGGACCAGATGGTTTCAACTCAGAATTCTACCTGATCTTCAAAGAAGAGTTTATACCAATACTCTTTAAATTGTTCCACACAATAGAAACAGAAGGAACAATACCAAACTCCTTCTATGAGACTACAGTTACTTTGCTTCCCAAGCCAAAGATGCAACAAAGAAAGAGAATCTTCTTACAGACCAATCTCCCTCATGAACATTGATGCAAAAATACTCAATAAAATATTGACAAACAGACTCCAAGGACACATCAAAACAATTATCCACCATGATCAAATAGGCTTCATCCCAGAGATGCAAAGTTGTGGATATAGTTCTGTATAAATAAAAGTCTGATTGGCCAGTGGCCAGTGGCCAGGCAAAAAGTATAGGCGGGACAAGGAGAGAGGAGAATTCTGGGAAGTGGAAGGCTGGGTGAAGGAGACACTGCCAGCCACTGCCATGACAAGCAGCATGTGAAGATGCCGGTAAGCCACGAGGATGTGGCAAGGTATAGATTTATAGAAATGGATTAATTGAAGATATAAGAACAGTTAGCAAGAAGCCTGCCACGACCATACAGTTTGTAAGCAATATAAGTCTCTGTGTTTACTTGACTGGGTCTGAGTGGCTGTGGGACTGGTGGGTGACAGAGATTTGTCCTGATTGTGGGCCAGGCAGGAAAACTCAAGCTACAGCTGGTTCAACATATGAAAGTCTGTCAATGTAATACAGCATACAAAGAAACTGAAAGAAAAAAAAAACACATGATCATTTCATTAGATGCTGAAAAAGCCTTCAATAAATTCCAACACCCCTTCATGATAAAGGTCTAGGAGAGATCAGGTATACAGGGAACATACCTAAACATAATAAAGGCAATTTATAGCAAGTCTACAGCCAACATCAATATAAATAGAAATTCAAAGTGATTCCACTTAAATCAGAAACAAGACAAGGTTGTCTGCTCTTCCCATATTTATTCAATACAGTACTTGAAGTTCTAACTAGAGCAATAAGACAACAAAAGGAGATAAAGGGGATACAAATTGGATAGGAAGAAGTCAAATTTTCACTATTTGCAGATGACATGATAGTATACATAAGTGACCGTAAAAATTTGTCCAAGGAATTCTTACAGCTGATAAACACCTTCAGTAATGTGTCAGCATACAAGATTAACTAAAAAAAAAATTAGTAGTCCTCCTATATCCAAAGACAAGTGGGCTCAGAAAGAAATCAAAGAAACATCACCCTTTATAATAACCACAAATAGATAAAATAACTTGGAGTAACTCTAACTAAGCAAGCAAAGGACCTGTATGACAAGAACTTTAAGTCCCTGAAGAAAGAAATTGAAGAAGATATCAGAAAATGGAAATATCTCCCATGCTCATGGATAGGTAGGATTAACATAGTAAAAATGGCAATCTTACCAAAAGAAATCTACAGATTCAATGCAATCCCCAACAAAATCCCAACACAATTCTTCACAGACCTGGAAAGAACAATACTTAACTATATATGAAAAAAACAAAAAACCCATGATAGCCAAAAAATCCTGTACAATAAAACAACCTCTGGGGGCATCACCATCCCTGACTTCAAGCTCTACTATAGAGCTACGGTAATAAAAACTGCTTGGTACTAGCATAAACACAGACATGTAGACCAATGGGACCGAACTGATGACCCTTACATTAATCCACATATGTATGAACACTTCATTTTTGACAAAGAAGCCCAAACTGTACAACAGAAAAAAGAAAGCATCTTCAACAAATTTTGCTTGTGTAACTGCATGTCAACATGTAGAAGATTGCAAATAGATCCATATCTGTCACCGGGCACAAAATTTAAGTCCAAGTGGTTCAAAGATTTCAACAAATATCCACTTACTCTGAACCTGATAGAATGAGAAAATAGCAAGTAGTCTTGAATGCATTGACACCAGAGATCATTTCCTAAATAAAATATCAGTAGCACAGACACTGAGAGCAACAATTTATAAATGGGACCTCTTGAAACTGAGAAGCTTTTGCAGGGTAAAGGACACTGTCAAAGGACAAAATGACAGCCTACAGAATGGGAAAAGGTCTTCGCCAACTCCACCTCTAAGAGAGGGCTGATATCCAGAATACACAAAAAACCTAAGAAACTAGACACCAAAATACCAAACAGTCCCATTAAAAAATGGGCTATAGAGCTAAACAGAGAATTCTCAACAGAAGAACCTAAGATGGCTGAAAGACATTTAAGACATTGCTCAACATCCTTAGTCATCAGGGAAATGCAAATTAAAATGACTCTGAGATACCATCTTACACCTGTCAGAATGGCTAAGATTAAAAACCCTGAAGACAGCTTATGTTGGAAAGGATGTAGAACAAGGGGAACACTCCTCCACTGTTGGTGGGAATGCAAACTTGTACAGCCACTTTGGAAATCAGTGTGGTGCTTTCTCAGAACAATGCGCAGAGTGTGAGAGACCTTGGAACACTCAGTTCTAAACCGGATATTTCCATCAAATCTCTCCAGTCAGGCCTCAGGGAATTCTACAAAAGAGAAGACAAAAAGTGCATAAGAGCCAGAGTAGATGGAGGACACTGAAGAATCAAGGCCTTCTGGACTCAACAGGGCTTGCTCACATATGCACTCACAGAGACTGTGTGGCAGCATGCGCAGGGCCTGCATGGGGCTACACCAGATAGAATCCTAGAACTGAAGGGAGAAGCGGACACATGACCCCCTCCCCAAGCCGAAGGCTACCTCTAATTGGTGATTAGAAATTACCTTGTTAATGAAAATTTAATTTTCTCCAAGGGAGTCACACTGAGGAAACAAACCACTCTTAAGTAGGGCCCATGCCTAGCTGTTGAGGGCCAACATAAAACAAACTCCACAGCACCTTTGGAGGGTAATTGTCTCATAATATTAAGTCAGGTTTCGTTTTCTTGTTTTTTTTTTTTTAATTTGTAGGTCCTTTTGCATATATATTATGGTTTACAGTTTGGGTTTTTTATGGAATTCCTGTGTGCAATATTGTGTGTATCTCTGCGTCTATATGCACTTATTGTGCTTTTTATTTGGCTCTTTTTCTTCTTTGGTCTTTTATTTCTCTTGTGATTTATTTGCTTTTGATTTAAATTATATTGTTTTATATTATACCATTACATTATATTACATTACATTATATTATATTATATTACATTATATTATATCATATCATATCACATATTATATCATATAATAATATATTATATGATATTATATATCATATCATATTATTACCCCTTAGATGCCTGTTTGTTTTCTAAGGAGAGACAACTAGACTGTGAATTCAGAGGGGAGGATAGATGTGGAAGAATTGGAAGGTGTAGAGGGAGGGGAAGCTGTAATCAGAATATATTATATGAAAAAGTCTCTTTCAGTAGAAGATAAAAACCCTCTAAGAAACTCTTATAAGTGGAAGCTTGGTGATTAATTTTCTCACCTTTCTAGAACACAGAGCGTTCTTGTGAGATACTCAGAAAATGACACACTACACAGTCCACTTAGTTGACCGCTATGTCCTTTCAACAAGAACACAAAGTGACCTACATTGTAAAGGTGTGATGAGAAAAACTGATTTCAAAATCATTCAAGTATGAGAATTTCCTGTTCAACCGTCAGTGACACCTTGGTGAGAAATCTCCTTTTCCACTCCTGACACACTCTGAGCCTTACTGCGCAGCCTGCTCAGTTCACTGTCACTGTTGTCCTGGATTTCTGTGACTGACTTTCACCTTTTGGTGCTCAGCTCCCACAGGCCTCCTGTGAACTCCACCCTCATGCAGGAGACCTGGCTTTCTGGCAACAGAGGGAGCTTGTCACTGCTCCCTTGTCTCCACCAGCCCAGTCAGTCAAGGGGACCCTGCACATGCTCATGTGGAACAACTGAGGCACAGCTCTGCTGCAGGGAATCAAACTGGGATGTGGATCCTCTAAACACCTCGGATAAATCCAAGTGCGTGGGACACACTGGAGGATTGTCTCAAGGTTCTGTCCTTGGTGTCTGTGGAGAGTCAGTCACCCACTTGTGTTTGTATTTCTTTATCAATATAATTAAACCTACAGCCTCTAGAGACCTAATGGTGAAATGTGGATATTAAGTGTTGCAATTTGTGCTCTGTGTATCTTTGGTGAAAACTGTATTGTTTTATCCCAGAGGGCACAGATTGAGAGCCTGGCATGCCAATCTTTGTATTAACTGCTTTACATGTTTTATGTTATATATACTTGAACTTAGATTTTAGAAGAATAAATAGAGGTATTAGATTCCAAATAATAATAACATTTTAACAGTCACGTGTTATAAGGCTCAAAGCCAGAATTAATTCTAGATTTATTTTTTTAACAATAACACATGAGTTCAAAGCCCAAGGTAAAATTAGATATTTCAACTGTACAAAAGCTCCAGTTCTCCAGGCTCCTCCTTTCATGATTGCATCAGGATGTGTAGCTTCTTAAGTAGAATCACCATAGCACATGTCACTGGGCTGTACTGTCAGTCATGAGTCATTTGCTCAGAACTGATAATGCATCAGGACCCAGGGAAGCAGCAAAGGAAACCCAAGGCCTCTCACAGCTCCATTTCAGTAACCCATCAGGAAATCAGCTGATGGAGTTCAGCCTTCAAAATGCTTCCCAGAAGCATGTCAAGATCAGCAGGCAATGCCACTGCAAAAGTAAGGCACTGGATGGACCTTTCAGTGTAACTGGTCTGGGGTGCCGGCTGGCTTGCAGTCGGGAATGGGCTCCTTTCTGGGAGGAAAGGAAACCTTAACTTGGCCCATGGTGTTATAATTTAAGATGTGAGCACAGTTTTCATTCAGATATTGTTGTAAGAATGTTTGACCATTGTGTTCAAGGAAAATACAATGATATTGTCTACAGACCAATTACAGCACAGAGGAGGACCTGGGGCTATGTTTCTTCTGATTCTCTGAGTTCTCTTCTGTGTAAACCCTGTGAATATCTGTGTCTGTTTTCTCTCTCATCACTTCCATTTATTTTTGCAGATTTTTTATCACCTCCAGAGAAGCTCATCTCTGGGATCCTGGGCATCATCTGGTTTGCCTTATTAGTCGCCTTGGTGATAACAACCAGAGTTGTCTTTCCATGTAAGCATGATTTTGAGAGATTATAAAGGAGCTTTCCTCTTTAATAACAAAGCATCTTTCAATGCTCCTTCCTAGTAAGAAAAAATTTCTTTTATTTTCAAGTACATATGTGGATAAATGTGGAAATGTTGTTCTAATTTTTTCAAAGTTATAAATAACAGGGTATTATAATATGTTTGCTTTTAAGTATGGCGATTATGACTTTATAATTCAACAACACAATTTAGAATACTTTACTATGAAAAACAAATTAAGCTTTGAAAGTGTTCCCTTCCAATTGGTTGTACTGTGAAAATGCTGAACTTTAGGTTTTCATTGAACTAATTTTCTCCAAAGTTTTCACCATATTATTCATAATACAGTAATTGCAATTTTATTCTATATTACTCTAATTCAAATAGTACATAAATTTCAAACTAAGAGATTAAAATTGTTATGATTATTTAGATGTCAAATTTACTAAGAATTACTTTAACTCTCCAGCTATTGAAGCAAAGGAGTAGATACACTTCTTCCTGATTACAAGTCAGAAAGGAACACCTCGATTGTACAAGTTCTGATGCTTGTACACATTATATGCTGTGCCTAACTTAAGCCATGTGATGACAGTAATATAGTTCTGGGAAGAGAATAATCTAGAGACATGAACAGTAAATTCTCATAATAAACATTAATGGATGATAATCCCTTTTGTCATGAAATAAATAATCATGTAAGATAACTATGCAACAGTTTTGATAATTGGCTTAAGTTTCCTATTGACAAACTATGATGCCTCAGAAATGAATTTTGTCTTTTAGAATAGGGGTTGTATTCAGTGATTTTGAAGAAAACTTTGGGGAGAGAATTTGGTTTTGGTTTATATTCTTTATATGGACATATAAACTATGGACCAGAGCTTGATGAACTGCTTGAATGTATTTGAATGTGCATTTTGTGTTTTATGAACCAGATTCTGGGGTGCATAGCTGTATTTTATACATGGATGTTCAAACCTATGCAAACATGTAAACTGATTTTCATTATTGAGTTCATATTGCTTCTATGAGGGGGAGGGTCTTGGTCCTGCCTCAACTTAGTATGCCAGACATTGTTGACTCTCCAAGGGAGGCCATAACCTCTTTGAGGAGTGAATGGGCATGGGCTGGGGAAGAGTTGGGAATGGAAAGGGAGGAGGAACTAGGATAGGTATGTAAAATGAAAAAAAAAACTTTTGTAAATAAATTTAAAAATGTTTAGCAGAAAAAAAGAACAAGCAGAAAGAACAGCAGCTTTTAATTTAAATTTTAAAGTTTATATTTGGATTAAATGTGGAATGGTTATTATGTTTTTGTCAATATCATGAATATCAGAGCAATTATATGAAATGTTTAATTTTGACTTTATCAGTGATTTCAAAACTCAACATAGTTTAGAAACTTGGAAACTCTTTATTTAGATACTGTTTTGAAAGTGATTTTTACAACGGTTATATGATAAAAAATGTTGAAATTTGGTCTTTCATTAAAGTAGTTTTCACCATATTATTTTTCACAATTTCAATTGTATTCCACTGTACCCCAATTAAAATAGTACATCAGCTTCAAACTAAGAAACCAAAATTGTTATAATATTTTAAATATTTATTTTCATAAGAATTATTTTAACTCTCCAGATTCTGAAGCAAAAGCACAGATCAACGCCTCCCTAACTAGAACCCAGAAAGGTACACCTCTCTTGTCAAAGTTCTGATGCTTGTACACATTATATTCTGTGTCTAATTAAAGCTATTCAAAGGTGATAATAGATTTCTAGGGGAAAAATCTAGAAACGTGAGCACTACATGTTCATCAGTAAATATCAACGATGATACCCTTTTTGTCCAATGAGAAATATTCAAATAAAATGACCAGGAAAATTTTTAATAATTGGCTTAATGTTCCTACTGGTGGACTATGATAAGACAGAAATGAACTCACTGTTCTAGAATAGAGCTTATGTTCAGTGACTCTGAAAAATGTGTAGGGTAAGGACTTGTTTATTTAGTTTAGATAAACAAATAAACACAGGACCATAGGGCAGAATCTTTTCTTTGTGTGTTTGAGTGTACATTTTATATATATTTATCAGCCTCTAGGCTGTGTAGATACATATTTTACATGAATGTTCAAAACTAGGAAAACATTAATTTTCACTATTAAATTCATCTTTCTTCAGTACACTCTTGTGGTCAATGTTCAAAGGAGTGGATATCATATTCCCACAACTGCTATTACATTGGTATGGAGAAAAAAACTTGGAATGACAGTTTAGTGTCCTGCGCTTCTAAAAACTCTACTCTGCTTTACATAGATAATGAAGAGGAGCAGGTAAGAGTGGTCATGTGTCAATCATTGCTTGACCTTTCTTTCTGTCAATGGGATGTGTGTAGACTTCATTCACATTCCTATACATATTTCTTGTATTTAAAACTCTGTATAATATTTCATTGTTTTATTTTACAATGTTTTATTTATATTTGTGTACTGGTGGTGAATATTTATTTCAAGATTTATTTGTTTATTTTATGAAAGCCATTCTTGTACAAGTGCATTTAGTCTGAAATTTACTTTGCCATTTATTTTTACCATACACACACTAAAAATCTATACATGTATGATAGTTAATAGTGATCAGAAAGTGACTAGGTAGAGGTAATTATAGTCAGATAACTAAGCATGCATTTCCATTTCCTTCATGTCCCTTCCCTATGATTATTCTTATCAGGACTTCCTGTACAAAAACATTTTTCTGACTTTTGCTATAGTTGGCCACACATGCCTTTGAATTTTATAAGACAGGGATCAGACATATATATGCACTGTTACAAAGACATTCTGTAACTCAGTGGTTCTCAAACCATGGGTTGCATTCCGTTGACAGTGGAATGACCCTCTCAACAGGGGTCACTTAGGACCATAGGAAATATCAGATATTTACATTATGATTCATAATAGTAACATTACAGTTATGAAGTCAACACAGAAATAAATGTATGTTTTTCGGTCACTACAACATGAGGGACTATATTAAAGTGTTACAGCATTTGGAAGGTTAAGAACCACCACTATTACTCTTTCGTGGTCTCAGAGCAAATCATCAATCCATTTTACTGCATTGATCTGCAGTTTGCTCAGTTTCACTGCCCTGTTATATAAGCATAACATTCTAAGGCCCAATCTATCTGGTGTTCCTGGAGGGAAGAAGTGAGTGTCACACCCTCAAAGACAGAGGCATTTACATGGCCATCTGTACTCACAGGATCCCCTATACCAACTCTACTCTGGTGTCCTTCAATTCAGCAAGTAGGAGAAGCACTTCCTATGAACAATCACCCCATTAGGTTCTTTCAGCCTTTCCCAGTGCTGCTGACCAGTCTCTCTTACACAGGAAGGAGCAAGCTCACATAATCCACCTGCTGTTGCTTGGGTTCTGGGAGAGAACAAGTAAGGTCATTTCCTTCCATTGGACAAGGGAGACAGGATGTCCTGCCATTCTGCAGTCCCTCATCTTCAGGTGTCAAGCTCTTTCAGCTTTTTGTTTCAGGTCTTCAGAATTCGTTGCTTGTGTCTTTTATTATTACCCTCCAAGTTTCCCCTTCTATTCATAACAGTAGCCAAGAGAAGCGTCAATGCAACCTTTTCAGTAATCTACCCCTATGGTGATAGACAAAAGTAGAGCCTCAGCTACTTAATGATAATATGGTACCCAGAATACAGAAATTTTGTCTACTACATCAGTCATTTCTTCAATAGCAAACCATAACCTTCCTTCTAAAACTGAATGGGGAGAAACAGTAGAAGAATTGATTTGAGCACAGCGCCTAGAGAATTTTATGCATAGTTTCTGGAAATTTGTTTAAATCGCTGTTATGGTTGTGTTGTTACAATGAGTATCTGTTAAATTACATAAATCAATTGCCAAATTTCCCACTAATGGAAGAATAAAGCTTCTAACTATAAACACTTAAAAGTTAATTAAAATTTTTAGATCAAAATTAAACACATATGTGAGTATTTTGGTATTGTAAGAAGTGTTTTCAACTTTAATAAGTTGATTTGTATTGGACAATAACTATACTACAACAGAATACACTTTGTTTAAAAAAATAATAACCTTCATACTGATGGAAATTCCTTGTTTCTCTGGTAGGTTTTTCTGCAAGTTCTCTCACTGGTCTCATGGACTGGAGTCTTTAGGAAGAGCAGAGATCAACTCTGGGTTTGGAAAAAAGACTCAACTTTCAAACCAGAGTAAGTTTTCATGATTGATGCAATTGACAAGAAAAAAAAAAACATATAAACAGACCTCAGAAGAATGGTGTCAGTAAATTGAGTTGAATTATGATCAGGTAGAATGATGCTGACCTTTGTGAACTGCTCATGTGAATCTGAAGAATGGGCTACTTGGCTTTTGTAATAATCAGTCCTTACCGCACTTTGACAACTTGCATGAGATCCTTCTTTTGCAGTTGCTTATGAGATGAACTCATATAGTAGATTATTCACATAAAGTATATCTGAATTTTTTGTTTCTGCCATTGCAGGATAATAGAGCATATTGAACATAATAACTGTGTCATGCTGTCAGCTTTTGGCCTTACAACAGATGATTGCACAGCTTTACATACATATCTTTGTGAGAGCAATTTCAACAACTAAAACACCCACACATGGAGTCTGCCAGGTATTGTTACATTTCATAACTTGAAAATAAATTTATGGTTGTGTACATCTTAAAGCGAATTTTATTATCTGCTCTAATAATGGATTTTTCAGAAACAATTATTGAAGTATAAAAAACACACAAAAGTACAAATATTGCTTTTGTATCTGAATCTTTTTGCTCAAAATACTCTTTATAATATTAAATTTTATAACAGATTACACATATCCTAGGAGAGTTTGTGCAGAAGCACTGTTGCATTTCGAATTTACCCTTCCATGTGCTGTCATAGTACTTTGTTGGACTGCTTTGATGGAAGCTGCAGATTACTCATTGAGTTTCGTGGTACAATTAGGTTACTCATTTATTCACTACATGTAAGACAAATTGCTAAATGGTTTTATTAACAAAAAACCTGGAGCCAGATATTGGGGTAAAAATCTGAGAGATCAGAAGAAAAGGACAAGCCACAGCCAGCCTTAACTCACTAACAACTCAGCATCCAAAGGAACCTACTTCCTATATACCAACGCCTATATGCCTTTCTGTTCTTCCATCTCATTTTTTGTCTCTGCCCAGTTACATCACTTCCTCTTTCTGACCAGCTCTGTCACTTCCTATCTGTCTGTACAGACCTCCAGACCTTTATGGTTAACTAGTGTTGGAATTTAAGGCATGTGCCACCATGCCTGGCTCTGTTCCCAGTGTGGCCTTGAACTCAGAGAGATCTGGATGACTCTCTGCCTCCTGAATGCTAGGATTAAAGTTGTGTGCTACCATTGCCTGACCTCTATGTCAGGCTGGCTTTTCCCTCTGATCCTCAGATAAACTTTGCTAGAGCACAAATAAAATATCACCACAACTACATTTCCATATATGTGTACATAGCCTTCTTCCTCCCTTCTCAGCACCGCCCCCATTCACTCCTCCTCTTTCTGTTCAGAAAAGGCAGGTCTTCCTGGGATATCAACCAATCATGGTATATCAAGTTGAAATAAAACTAGGCACCTTCCCTCATATTCTTGTATAATATTAGAGGGACCAGCCTTAATATTATACATCCCAGGGGCTCAGGAGAGAGAACTACTAATGGCGAGGACTATT